ACGAGGATATAAGCATACAGTGTGAACCAAACCGTTATCTCTCTAATTTGAGAATAGTACGACCGAAGACCACGGAAAGCTCCTGAAACGTTAGTGTCAATCGATTCACATTGTTATCATGTTGACTTTCGAACTCTCAAAAATTGAAGGTGTTGAAAATATTGGAGTTTCAGGAGTTTCACATGCGTTTTTCGCGAAGTGAAATGTGAAATGTGTTTTTCACTAGTGTTTTTCACATCACGGGTGAAACTCCATTACTTGACATAACGTACTGGTTCACGCTGTAGAGTATCTTGATTCGGATTTCCAGAAAATTGTTTGGGCAAGATCTTGAGAAAATACATACGCTACTGTTCAAATTTGTTGAAAAAAAATCAACATGTGAATTTAATCTGCTATCAAAAAAAGGTTATGAACTCACAGAAATTTTGTTTTCACACAAAACTAGGAAACGAAAATTCTATGTAGATGCGGATACTACTGTATACACTACTCGTGTATCGTGTATATAAATCAGTCTATCACACTATGGATTTAATTTTCAGTTCTTGGAGCCGATCTTGGCAATACCACGCTTGGTTGAACAGTTATCAGCTGGCACGATACCACCGTGTGCAGCTGTGGTCGGGGGTCTGCTTGGTGAGGAGGTTGTGAAAGTTGTTACTAGAAGAGATGAACCTTTAGTGAATACAGGTGGGTGTTATCTGATGTGAATTATGGGAATATTTTTGGTTTGTATTCTGAGGACATTTCGGGAAATTATTGTTGGTTTCTACCCGAATTGGTATATAAATAGTAGGGAAACTCTTCTGAGCTCAACTGAGGAAGGCGAACATATATTTTTACTCTAACACTGCTCATATACACGCCACTTTGACTGGTAGTGAAGTAGAGGTATGCATTACATGTCAGTTCGGTATGCAAATGTGCGTTATTTTTTGAGATTAATGAGACTCGCATATATAATGGAGTTCCACCTGTTATATGAAAAACACATTTCACAGGCGAGAAACGCGTGAAACACATGTGCTGTTTTTCACTCACGGTGTATAACGCGAGGAGATTTCGCGTTTTACGGGAATTCAGTCTGCTGTGAAAGGAAGGTTATGAACCCACAACAACCGAAGTTTTGGAATTCTTTTTCAGTTGGAATCACCACGAAACTAGGAAACGAAAATTGTTGTCTTTATAAAATGCGAATACTACTGTATACACTGGAGTTTCACCCGTTTTACTTGAAGTGGCGTCGTAAAACTCGGCGAAAAATGCGATATTCGTAATTTGCAGTAGTCGTAAAATGTGTTTTCGATATCACTAGGGTGGTGAAACTCCACTATTCGTAGAGCGTAACTTTATCGTGTATATAACACAGATCATCACCAGTGCTATTAGTATCTTTATCGTGTTCTGGGGAGAAGGATTGTTTTTCATCTGACAAAGTGTGTAAAATTTTTCTGTGAATTTCTTCTAATAAGTAGTAATTAATAATAATTTTATAATTTTCCTGAGTAATTTTTTGATAAGAAGTAACTCTAGTAATACGTAGTGGTGGTAGTACTCTAGATAAGGTGAAGTTATACTAATTTGATAATTTTCATTTTTCAGTTACATATACCTGTCGAACGAACGGTGCATACGTGGAGAAGATGCCAGCGAAGGGAATTAATGAAGTTGCTGTTGTTCAAGAAGATATGGTATGATTGTTTGTAAAAAGCGCGCGCCCGAAAATTTTTCGGGCGCGCGTGCTGGGAGTTTCAGCCAATTTTCACGAAGTGGCGCAATACTCTGTGGAAAATTTGCGATATAAAGTCGCGTAATATTTCTTTTACTAGTGTTTTTCATATCACGGGTGGAACTCCATAGGGTGTTTCCAATTGGCATAGGAGAGATGAATATCCAGAGGTTGACTGGGTAAGATACGGATGAGGTCCGTTACAGTACACACCTTGTGTGGGATATTAGCTTTTTATTTAAATATCAGATATTTATAATGATTGATTATATATATAATCATCTATTCGGTTATTATGATATCTATCATTATAATTTTGTTACACTTGATGGTGAATTAGAAGTAGCGCGCGCCCAGGTAATCGATTGTCACGGAAAGCCATCTGGTTTGCCGGTAGAGTGTGTAACTGTATTGGTGTTTGGGGAATATATGTTTGCTTTCCTCAGCTGAGCTCAGGAGTTTCCTCACTAATTATCAGAGTTTTCATACGGTAGAAGTGTACCAAAACCAAAAAGGATTTCCCAAAATAGAAATCCCATAGAGGTATTGAGCAAACCTCAAACCTGAGGCCCGAAAGCCGAGGTCTGGGTTTGGCAACAGCGAACTGATCCGTAGATAATAAGCTACCCGAGCATTAGTCGCAACCGAGTCAAATCTCTCAGTATCAATGGTAAACATCCCTACACCTGTAGTTCTATCATTGCAGTACTCACTTTCATCAACACAAGAGGTTGTTTAGCGCTCGCCCCAGGTATAGTTCACTAGATTTCACGCAATTTCCCAGTGATGGTACGATCCCCAGCAGAAACCATACCGTGTTTGTCTCTCATTTTCACATTGTCATCCACACTTGGTACACACTGATGAATTCACGCACGCGGAAGATTTTAGAT